GCTCGTTACCACCATAATTTAGTCGAGACTTGCATTGCCGCACTAGTTTGGAAGTAGTTAGAGGGCTGACCAATACCTTAAGTGCAACTTGGTTGTCACTGCAGATCCGTAAACTCCTTCCCCTCCACCTATGTTCCACCACGTAGTCCATGGCTTTGAGGATTGCAATTACCCCAACCTGAAGCACCGAAACATATTCCCCAACGGAAAAGTGAAGCTTATCCCCATTAACTTCGGAAAAGATCCCCACTCCGTGTTAAACCAACATCCGGTTGTTTTTAGTTTGCAGGTGGCCTTTAAGGCTTTCCCACGTATGAAAACACACAGTGACGGTAAGTGTACCAGTGCGTCAAGAGCACTATACACCACTAAAAAAAATTAAAGTTAAATAAAGTGGCTATCAAGCAACCATTTTGATTCATGACTATCGAAACCAGATAAATTTTCGTGGACCCCCACCTACAACTCATGGACCCCCATATTTTTTTCACGCCAACGTAGACCCTCGTCGAGTCTTCCGTGGGGGTCCACCTGGACTACTTTGTGAATCACTGTTCTACAGAGTGGTGATTAGTGCTTCCATTTACTTTTTTGCTGTCCCTCCAGATTTAAGGCCTGTATGCAGTTCTCAAGAAATGCTAAAATTCCATACAAAATGACGTACAAGAAATGGCTAAGAAATTTTCTTGAGTCAAATTTCCTTCAGACAGTACGCAGTTCTTAAGAAATTTGCTACGCTTTTTACTACGGTTTTCTAAAGTTTTTTGTGAAAAAAGAGCACAAGGCAACCCAGGTTTGCAACAGAAATATATGCCCGTTCCATTATTTCTTGAGGAAAGAGTGAGGCAACAGGCTGTGAAGTATCAAAAATGTCAAAATTCCTTGGACACACACACGAAATAATGGCAAATTTTTCTTGACCGATTTCTTGAGAGCTGCATACAGGGCTTTATAAACCAAAATCACTAGAATCCCGTTAATCCTTTAAATTCTGCTAACTTTTATGAAAACCTAATTTCTGTGATAACACCGTGCGACAAAACCAAAAATTTTTAAAACACACGAAAAATCAATATATTCACAAAACTAAGAGCCAAATATAGTACAACTGCGTTTTTAGTTTTTCTCTCTGACGTCAGGATTTTTTTTTAAAGGACTTTGAAATAACCAGGATATGGTAGAATAAAAAAATTATTTAAAAGAATTGGTGCATTGTAGAGTAACAATATGGCTATCAGTTAAAAAGAAAAATTCTGTAGAATTTAAAAAGGATTTAATTTTTTGTTGCACCAGGACGAATAAATGTTGAAAATGTCCCTTTAAAACTTATCCTTGAATATCCTTGGAAATTCCCAATATTTATTTTTGAAAAAATGTATGTCAAGGACTAATATGTAAACTACCACATCCTCAAATTTTCGTCCTTCTAACTTTATTAGTTTTAGATAAACAAATTTTACACTTCTCCCGATATTGATAGTTACAATATGCATAAATGAAGATACTAGAATCATTACACTGTAGTGCACTCCGCTGGGTATTGGACCAAACCAAATTTTTTAAGAGAATGAGTCATAGGTAAAAAAGTAAAGTTAGCCTCCGAAATCGAGATATGGGCCTTCGAAGTTCGAGATAGGATCATTGGTAAAAAATTATTTTTTATTGTTATATGTAAATAACTAAAAACTAAAAACACAGTCGTACACCGACTTTTTTATTTAAATGATTTATAACTTTTTTTGGAAACTTATATTACAGGTGCTATAAGGGGGCAATGGTCGGGTCTTCGAAAAATTAAAAACCTTATATTTCAAATAATTTTGAACTGATTTTTGAAAAGTTGTAAACGTGATTAGACCCCTTCTTCTCTTCTAATATGCATATTTGTGTACTTTGTATGTAAAAATTTGAGAAAAAACATTTAAAAGGAAAAAATACCTTTTTATAAAAAATAGTTTAAACAAACAAATTACTAACCGATATTTAAAAAATTGGTATCGTTGATAACACAATCAAATCTTCCTTTTTCTGATAGGCGTATTTGTATACTTCGTATATAAAAATTTGAGAAAAAGCACTTAAAAGGAAAAAATAACTTCTTTTATAAAAAAAATTTAATAAAGAAATTGCCAACCGACTTAAGAATTTGGTATCGTTGTAAAGGCGATTGAACCGTCTTTCTTCTGGTGTGCATATTTGTATACATCGTGTATAAAAATGGAGAAAAACACCTGAAAGCAAAAAATACCTTTTTTTGATAAAAAAAAAAATTTTTTAAACAAAAAAATTACTAACCGATTTTTAAAAAACTTGGTATCGTTGTGAAGGCTACCAGAAAACATACTTTCCTAAGCCCGAAAATTGTGTTTTATATACACAAAAAAAATATAATTAACAAGTAAGAAAGTCTAAGTTCGGGTGGAGCCGAACATTAAATACCTGGCGCAAGTATTAAATATATGTTTTTTCACCTTTCCGAAAGCTACCGCTAGATGGTAAGCCGGGGTGTATCAATTTTGAGTAAATTAGCGTCCTTAAATTTCGAAATATTGCAGTTTCAAGCATTTCTGAAATTTACCGCTATATGAAAAGCGGCCGTAATTTTAGTCCGATGTCAATAATTTTCAACGTTTTGCTTTTGCGTAGCAAGCACAATAAAAATGCCGAGTTTGGTACAAATTGGTAGAACGGTTACCGATATACATATATGTGATCATAANCCAACAACTGTGCCCAGTGTGGAAGAAATTGGTGCAGCGGTTACCAAGATATACACATGTAACNCCGCTAGATGGTAAGCCGAGGTGTATCAATTTTGAGTAAATTAGCGTCCTTCAATTTCGAAATATTGAAGTTTCAAGCATTTCTTAAATTTACCGTTATATGAGAATCGGCCGTTATTTTAGTCCGATTTCAATAATTTTCAACGTTTTGCTTACGCGTAGCAAGCACAATAAAAATGCCGAGTTTGGTACAAATTGGTAGAACGGTTACCGATATACTTATATGTGATCATAAGTGGGCGGTGCCACGCCCATTTTCCAAAATTTTACCATAAACGTATTTCTTGGTAAAGAATTGTTGCAAGCATCAATTTTGAATAAATTAGCTTTAATATTTACTGATTTATCGAAGATTTTGTATTTCTCTAAATTACCGTTATATGGGATGTGGGCGTGGTTATTGTCCGATTTTAAAAAGTTTCGGCGGTTTATTATGCTGTACCAAGGCCAACAACTGTGCCAAGTTTGGAAGAAATTGGTGCAGCGGTTACCAAGATATACACATGTAACCATAAGTGGGCGTGGCTACGCCCATTTCCAAAAATTTATAATATTCTTATTTTTGGTCTAAAAATTGATGTAAAGATCAATTATGAGTGAATAATCTTCAGTAGTTACTAAAATATCGCAGTTTT